CACACGGGCGGGAAACTGCGGGGAGGGAGCGTGGCTATTTGCACCGGGGCAACATACCTCGCGGCAGCGGGATCAGACGTCCCGGCGAGGTTTCGGCGAGGTCCCGTGGATTAGGTGGAGGTGCCGATCACACGAGCATCCGCACCTCCAGCAAGAGCCGATGGGAAGGGGACGGAAGGAGCTGCCCCCTCTGGGAGGGCCGTGCACAGCCCACCCTGGGCAGGGTCCATGGGCCGCTTGCAAGGAGGGGAGGGAAGGGGGAGAGTAACCTGCCAGGTCCCCCCTCCCCACCAGCATCCCGCCTGCCCTCCCTTCCTCCCCCCGGGACACGCGGCCCTCTCTGCCTGGCCGCCTCCGCACACCCCCATCGCAGCCCCCCCGTGGCCCTCCCTCGTCCCTAACGATGCCGGGCACCTTTGTGCGCATGCGCTGTTGAGCGCTTCGGGGGCATGGGGGGGGGAACCACCCGGCGGGCGCCGGATGCCACGGAAGCCCAGCAGGGACACGATCAGGCGCGCGCCCTTGCTGCGCAGTTCCCGGAAGCTAGTACCTCGGAGGTACTAGTTTTTTACTGCGCTTCTTCCGACGGTCGCCACGGATCAGCCACGGGAGCTCTACGCTCCCCAGATGTTGTGGTGAGATCGTGCTCGGAAACTCCGCTACTCTTCCATCCCTCTTGCGTGCCTAATGCTCCGTGTGACCGCGGCCATAGTTAAATAAATCTTCCTTTTTTGAGTTTAAAAAGCCTGGTGTGCCTTAACCACATAGTCCTCCCCGCTCTACATGTTACCAAGGGCAAAGGGAGGCTAGGGAACACAAACGGGCCTAGATCTGTGGGGTTGTCAACTCTCCAGGGGGTGCCCAAAGAGCGAGGTACCCACTTCCCAAGGTGGGGATTTAGCCAGAGGGGTCTCACTGTCCCTCAAGGAAGGCGGTAACTTAATTCAGTGAGTGGTGGCAGCGTTAATAAAGACAAATAGTCCCACCAGGCAGGGTGGGAAGGCCAAAACAGGGGCTTGCGAGCCACAGGATGGCACCTCAGTCTCCCAGGGCTGGGGGTGGGCACCCATTTCGCCACAGTTACTATCAACCACAGTATCCTACTGAACCTTCTCTTGGCTCTGGGACGAAAGGGCACTGTATTATACTGGTTCGAGTTCTTCCTGGGGGAGCGTCTCAGAGCCTGCTTCGGTGGGGAGGGCAGGATGTAAATTGATTAATAATAAATTAATAAATAATATAGTACTGGGGGGATTCCTGCCTGTAGATTTGTGAATGGACAGGGACCTCAGTGGGGTACAATGCCATCCTGTTATGGGCAATGACAACTGCATCGGGCCCCTGCCCGAGTTGGCAGAGCGGCCAGAGTCACTGGCATCACCAGAGCTGGAAGCCGGCCCCTCTGACTCCTCGTTAGTTGACAGCTTGTCAGCGCCGGCACCCGAGCCAGTAACCTCTGTACCTGGTCCTGCAGCAGCCGATGAGGTGCAGGTGCAAACAGAAAGCTTGCCTGATTCACCTCTGTGGGTGGCTCAGCTGAGGGAGTGGCTCTACAGGGACTCAGCAACCTGCCGCCAAGATACACGCTGGCAGGGAAGGCAGGTACCTAGTCCTGAGTACTGACAGGAGCAGTGGCACTGCCAAAGGGAAGCACTGCCAGAGGTCTATATAGCTCCCACTCGGAGTTGGGCTCTCCATGGAAGCAACAAGTCACATCTGTGCTGACCCTGCACCCACCCTCATAAGAACATAAGAGACACTTAGCAATTTCATTGCGTGCCCACGGGTTCTTGTATTGTGAGAAAGGGAGAAAGTACCTCTTTCTCTACCTGCTCTATCCCATGCATAATCTTATAAACCTCAATCATGTCTCCCCTCAGTCGTCATTTCTCCAAGCTAAAGAGCCCTAAGCGCCTTAACTTTACCTCATAGGGAAAGTATTCCAACCTTTTTATCATCCGAGTTGCCCTTTTCTGCACTTTTTCCAGAGCTATAATATCCTTTTTAAGGTGTGGTGACCAGAACTGCACATAGTATTCCAAATGAGGTTGCACCATTGATTTATATAGGGGCATTATGATATTGGCTGATATGTTTTCAATACCCTTCCTAATAATCCCCAGCATAGCATTGGCCTTCTTTATTGCAGTCACACACTGAGTTATCGACTACAACTCCAAGATCTCTCTCTTGATCAGTCTGCCAGTTCAGACCCCATCAATGTGTATTTATATTTAGGATGTTTGGCTCCAATGTGCATCACCTTGCACTTGGCCATATTGAACCCCATTTGCCATGTTGACGCCCACTTGCCCATCCTTGACAGATCCCTTTGGAGTGCCTCACAATCCTCACTGGTTTTCACCACCCTGAACAACTTTGTAGTTGTTTAACCATAGAGTTTTGGGCCAATGCTAGAGTGTCGCTTGATGCAATGGTGTTACTTCTGGGTTGCTCTGAAAGTGACATCATGCCATTAATGTTCCACTGATAACCCCTCCCCATTTCCCCAGCATTTCCTCCTCACTCACTCAACTGAGTAGCAACAGGCAGAAGGCCTGTGTGGGAGTTGATCTCCCTACATAGAGTACACTCTCTAAAGCTTGACATTTCCTCCAGAGGAACTGATCTCTATCATCTGGAGTTCAGTTGTAATTCTGGGAAAACTCCAGATCCCACCTGGAGGCTGGTTATATTGAGTGTGGGTGACCTTGAGCTAATCGCAACCTAGCACCTTGACATACCTCACAAAGTTGCTGTGATGATAAAATGGAATCAAAGCATGTGCCCTGAGCTCTTCTTAGCAAGCATGGGATTAAAATGGAGTTGATGTTCTAAAAAGAAAAACCCTTGAAATTGTTCAGATCAGCCATTTCAGGTCAATAGAGTCCCCTCCCCCTGTCCCTTTAAATTTCAGCAATATGGCCATATATGGGTTACTTGTCTAGGACAGTAAATAAATAATGATGTAACCAAAAAAGGGGGTCAGTTTTCTGTAATGTCACAAAGGGATGCTTGGATACAGTGAAGTTCTACAGATCACGCAGCCGAGAGAAGCCTCCAGAGCAGTAAAAGTCACTTTGCCATAAACTTCACACAGGAAATCTGAGATCCAAAGCAACTTATATTTTGGCTTGTAATCGGTGATCATGGGGTGATCCAGAAATAAACTCCAGACTTCAAAGAGCCAGAGAGTTCAGAGCTGCTCTGCAGTTTATCAGCACACACAGACGGGAGAGAAATGCATCCAAGGGGATTTTCTGAATTAAGGTTTCACCAAGAAAAATAACTCTGGGTAAACTTTCCTACAGAAAAAAACAAGGTAATGCATTTATACTTGCTTTATATGTATTGAAATATGTTTACATTATACATAGTTGTTGCTCTCTCCAAATGTTGCATTGCACTGAATTAGGCACAGAGAGATAGGACACATAATAGTATCTTGGAAAACAGAGGACTTTGCGAGCAGAATTTATTTCGATTGCTAAAATATAAACATGTAGTTTATGGGTCTCCACCCCCCACTCACATATGCAGACATATGGATGGAATGTTTTATGCCTTGTCTTTCAAAATGTAATATGCCATGCTGGTAGATGTTAACGTGGGAAGCTTAACGGTGTGATTTTATGAACACTTTCCTCTGAGTAAGCCCCACTGAATAGACCCAAGAAGGAGTCTGCATAGAACTGCTTAGGATTGCTCTCATTTAGTGCCATCCTGTGCAAAGTTGTATCCTCCACAGCTACAGTTTCTGGCACTGAACAGATTTTTTTTTTTTAGAGGAAATGGTCAAGAAATTTTAAGTAACGATTTCCTTTATTCAGCTTGTTTCAGCAGCTGTATCAAAATTCTACCAATGACACAGATGGAAGCAATACATGAAAGTGTAAAATAGTGCAGGAGTGAAAACCGACTGCATCAAAAGGGTTTGAGCAGAATCAGGAACCAATGGTGGCGTGTGTGATGTGCCAAACTAAATTCATAAGCAATCTGATGTATCTAGGCAGCTGTAGCCTGATGGGATTTGTTTACTCAGAAAGTTTCATCAGCTGGAAGCTTCATTCGCTGTCTTTACCAGTTTGCAGCAACCATTGCAGTAAACATATAGTTGTCTGCTCCTGATCTGTGTTACGTGAGGCTGGATCTAAAAATATTCACTTGGAAAGTATGCATGTTCATCTACTTGTTTTGAAGTCAGATGTCCGGAGAGATCCAGGTCTTGCAATGCCCAATCCTGGTCAATAAATAGCAGGTTTTTGCAAAGTAATGAACTGGGAGCTGATCCAGGAAGAGGATTAAAAGAACTGCAATTCACCACTTACAAAGAAGATGGTTTTACAGTTTTTTACTTTCTTCAGGCTCATTTCTGCTGACTCCAGAAATCCATATGACTCTTGAATATATATATGGACCTTGAATACGTGCAAATACCTTGCACCCCTATATTGCCAATCTGTACTCTCAAAAGGAACATATGTGCATTTCATCCCTTTGTGCATGTGTGTGCTTTTAATCCTTCTAATGTACTGTTCCAAATGGGAGCAGATGTGCTAGAGTTCCCATGCCCCAAATACAACTGCTGGATCAAGGTGTCAAGCTTCTGTTCTCTACTCTGGTAAAGAGATGCAGGCCCCAGTGATATCAGTGGGACCTGCATGTGCCCAACATGAACAGTAATGAAGTCAAAGCAATTGCACACATAAGACTAGAAGCAAACTGTATACATTACAAGGGGCGGGACCCGCAATACTCGCGGGAGGGGGGGAGGGAGCTGCACACTTATCAGGCAGAGGAGGAAGCAGCAGGAGGAGGTAAGTTTCCCCCCATCCCGCCGGTTCCCCCCCCCCCTCCCCCCCCCCCCCCCTCCCCCCCCCCCCCTCCCCCCCCCCCCCCGCCCCCCCAACTCATTAGCATATGCCACACCCCCTGACATCACCGGAAGTGTGTCATAAGGCCACACACCCCGCCCCCAACGGTCCCGGCCGCCGCCGCTGGCCTTGCAGCTCCACTGCCGAGCCCCATGAGCGGCCCGGTGGGGGACCTGCAAGGCCGGTGGGAGTGCAAGGAAGCCCCGCGAAGGCCCTCCCTGGCCCCAGGCAGGCAGGGGTGGGGAGAGGCAGGGAGGAAGCAACTTACCCTCCCTCTTCTCCTGCCTCCTCCTGGCTGAATGAGGGCCGGAAGCGGGGCGGCCGGAAGCAGGGGGCGGGGCTTCGTCATGTGCCCCGCCCCCGTACCTCACCCGGGGGAACTGCGATCCACTGCGATCCCCCACAATCCCTCCCGAAATGACCTCTGGTTCTTATAGCATGTGGTTCTGTTGCTTCAAGGCCATTCCCCAGAGGCCTTTAGCAAAAGAGACACATCAGTGGAAACTAACTGTAAGGGAATTTAGTGCAGATGGACCTAGTCAGGACTTGTTATATATGCCGGTAAGTTATACTTTGTTCTGACCTGGATGGCCCAGCGGCTAGCCTGATCTCATCAGATCTCAGAAGCTAAGCAGGGTCAACCCTGGTTCCAGAGATCACCAAGGAAGTCCAGGGTTGCTACACAGAGTCAGGCAATGGCAAAGCACCTCTGTTCATCTCTTGCCTTGAATATCTAGCAGGGTCGCCAACAGTCAGCTAAGACTTGGACCGTGATTTCTACCATCACCAGTTGAAATCCACAGCATCAGCCTGTCTTTGGTTGCTGACTTACAAAGAAATATTATAGCACCTTTTGAAAACTTGAAGCAAGGGATAGTCTTTAAGCTTTAAGGCAACTTTGATTCTTAATCCTAACCACCAAGGAAGCTTACAGTTTCATGGTGATGATATATAAAATTCCCAGCCCCTGCTTGAGACCTTGCTGAATATTTGGGAGCACTGTGCCTGCAGAGGGCAGAATTTGGTGAAGAGAGGGAGCTGATAGAGTCCACCCTCTAAAGCTGGCATTTCCTCCAGGAGAATGGCTCTTCGTACTTTGGAGATCAGCCTGTAATACCAGGAGGACTCCAGGCCCCACCTGGAGGTTGGCAGCCCTAGTGGCATGTGAACTTAACTATGCTCCCTCTGACAATTATATGGGAAGTTGTGTTTGTGTAGTCTCTGGTACCAGATGGTCATTCCCTTCCAGTACAGCCAGACAGTTATTTCAGAGCTGATCCACAAACCCATCACGAGTCACCCTGTGCCCCACTGAAGGGACTGTTCTTGCTTTGCAATGCCTTTTCCCTCACACAGTGACCTCCTGTAAGCTGTTTGTTTTTCTTTATGTGTCATACAAAATACTTGGCAAATATCAGCTGCAACCTGACCCAAGCGGAGTATTTTTAAAAAGTGACACAACTCAGAAAGGGGAGGGAGAGTTGTGACAGCTCTAACAAGAGGCCCCTTTTTAATTTTGTAGAAAGCGCAGCAACTTGAACCATAATACAAACTGCTGGGAATAATCTACCCTAGCAATTGTTGATAAAAATGTGTTGTCATCTTCCATCAGAAAAAAATCCCTCTGGGTTTTTGTACTTGTTCCTTCAACAAAAGTTTACTCCCTCAAAAAAATTGCATTTATTAACAGCAATTTCTTTGTGTGTGTGTGTGTGTGTGTGTGTGTGAAGCTGATTCCACACAGAGGCGATTCTCAGGGTAGTTCTCTCATTGCTGCTGTGAAGGCAGAAGAAGCAGATTGTCCACACAGCACTTTGCCTGGATCTGCCACTTGTGGCCGTCATTCCCCCACCCACCCACCAGAAGGCTTTTAAAAAAAAAAACAACTGGAAATTGATAGGTTGTGATGGTGCTATAAAGTTATAATAATCCAGGCCCCCCCAACCTTTTTGAGCCTGCAGGCACCTTTGGAATTCTGACAGAGCATGGTGGGTGCAGCCACAAAATGGCTGCCACAAGAGGCAGAACCAACCACAAAATGGCTGCTTTAGCTTACCTTCAGTCACACAGTGAAGGCCCTTGTGCTGTGGTGGCAGCTGCTGCCAAAGCAAACTTTAAAAAAATCTGCCCAGCCAATCAAATGTCCAGGGGCCAATTAGAAGCCTTGTTGAGCAAAAGCTCCACCTGGCTCTGCCCACTTTCTAAAAACACTTGATGACCACCAGGAGAGGTGTGAGTGGGCACCATGGTGCCCACAGGCACCACGTTGGGGACCCTTGTAATGATCTCTTGCCACGATTTACTAGTTTCTGAGTTTCCGTTTTTAAGAAAGCCCCTTGGAGGCTAGAAACTTAGAGCTTAAAACACACACACATCTTCTTTACTTCTTTGAATAAACACTGCCATGATCTAGCAATAGATAGTGGTGATGGGGAAAATAGTGGTTGTGAGGGCTAAGGTGCCACTACTAGTGGAACTGGCAAAAAACACAGCTTTCCAGCCACACGATGTTCAGTGACACGTTGATAGTGAGCTTCCCAAGAAGACTGTACCAAACCAGCTTTGGGTAAGATTGCAGCAAAATGGGAAGAAAACAGAGAAGTAGCACAAATAGAAGATGTAGTCGTGTGGATGCTCTTGAAAAGAGTGCTCCTGTACGGGAAATTGAGACAGAGCAAATCATCCACATGGAAAGAACATAAGTATGTGCAGAGGATAAAATCTTGGGTTTTGTCGTGTTGCTTAAATCCTACATCTAAGAAGCTTTCGAGTGTCTGAAGGGACCTAAAATTTCTCTTCCAGCAATAGCCTAAAAGGGTGTGGAAGCTTTCTGAGAAATGCTGGTTTTCCTGAAACTCCCTTTGTGGTCCTTGCAGTTCCTCAGATATTTTGTCAAAGCACCAACATCCAAATTCTAATTTCACCTTTTATTTATGTACTTCATTTATATCCTGCCTTTCTCTCCAATGGGCCCCTAAAGTGTCTTACATCCTTCTCCTTCAATCAAGGTCACCCAGTGAGCTTTCATGGCAGAGCAGGGATTTGAACCTGGGTCTCCCAGATCCTAGTCTGACACTTTAACCACGACACCAGACTGGTTCTCACTTTAGGTGATGTTTAGTACAACCTCAAACATTATAATAGTTCAGAGGGCTAGGCTGAAGATGTGGCTGAGTGCATCAGATCCCTAGACCCAGATTGTTAAGTCGTGAACTTAACAAGGAGTCGGAGAGTGATTCAGCAAGAATGCGGTTTTTATTCTTCAGCTTCGTTACAACTCCAACACGGTGCAACAATCGCCAGCCAGAACCCATCAAAAGTCCATACACTGGCTGCTCTGTATTTAAACATTCCCGGCTAATATAGCCACGCCCACTGTACAAATTACAACCTATCAGGTTGAATAGATAACGGCCAATCACAAGCGATCCCGCTCTACAAGATGATTGGATGACACATCCTGGGCTAGTGCTCCTATTGGTTACATTAGGATCCTAGCCCAGGCTGAAGCTTAACATGAGATGGCAATGGGATGGTTCACATACATATGCATTCAATGTCAGCTATTGAATACACTACACAGATGTGCTGGTGTCTGGTCTTATGCAGTACAATCAAACGTAGCTGACTGGTTTAGGACCAGGGTTGGTTCTGTAGAGGGCTCATATGACTAACAAGCAATCCAGCTATATGTTTTTTTAAAAAACCTAGGAAGTTGCCTTTATTTATTTATATGGTGCTATCAATATTCAATAGCTTGCAATTTGCTTAATCAGGCCCTAAAACTGCTTACAATCAGGTTTATATATATTTTTAAATCGCCTTAAAATAGTACAGTCAGCGTAAAACACTAATGTTCCTGCAGAACACAGTTACAGAGAAACTGGAATGGCTACACAGCGATGAATTCTTTGAGTCATGTCAATTCGGTATTTATTTAACTGTGAAATGTAAATGCTGCGTCTCCAGAGAACTGCTCAAGGCAGCTCAGACCTAAAACAATACAACAAAACCAAAATGAGGCATTAAAAAGCCATTAAAACTTGATAAACACTGAACAACCTAAGTGATATTCATAAAATAGTCCTCAGGCTAGAGGCAGACCATAAAAGCAATTAAACAATATGGAAATTCCCCTCAAGCCTAGGTGAAAAGAAAGATTTTGGCCTGTTGTGTAAAGGAAAGAAAGGTCTTATCTCAAACAGGACCGAACTGAAGTATCATTTCTATGAGTCTAGTACCAATTTTTAAATTGGGCTCCACTCACTATTCTGTCCTGTATATATCATTACACGACTCATGGGGGGGAGGAATTCCATTTTATTTCTGTAAAATAGATCTACAAGATTGTCCAGAGAGGAGGGGCTGGTCTTGTATTTCCAAGTTTCTCATTGACCAAAAGCTGCAGATATGTGCCCAAATCCCACCTTGGCAGAAAGCATAATACCAATGGGAACGTACACAAAATCATAAAAAGATGTTTAAACTTCATTTGCATGTTGTATTCTAGGTTTTCCTTTTCTACCGTCTCCTCTGATTCCTTGTGAACGGGACAGCAGACGATGACGACGCAGGTCACAGTGGCACGAAGTTCACAGACAGGGACAATAAACCATGAGGACTACAGTCTCTACAGTAGTATGAGTGAACAGGAGCTCATTGAGATGGCCATAGAGCAGAGCTTAACAGAAGGGTCACCAGAGCAAACCGCAGCAAAGACGGCAGCCAGAGAGCAGGCGCAGGCTGCGCCCAGTGAACCTTACTACTGCCAGAATTTTTACCTTTACCCTTGGCAAAGGTAAGTAAGAACGTGAAGACAGTGTGGTATAGTGGTTAGAGTGTGGGACTGGGACCTGGGAGACCAAGTTTGAATCCCCAGTCTGTCATGGAAGCTTGCTGGGCAACCTTACGCCAATCACTCTCTTTCAGACCAACCCTCCTCACAGCATTGTTGTTGTGAGGATAAAATGAAGCAGGGGAGAAAAACTATGTTGTATCGTAGGGTTGCCAGCTCCTGGTTGGGAAATACCTGGAGATTTGGGGGGTGGAGCCTGAGGGGGGCAGGGTTTGGTGAGGGGAGGAAACTCAGTGGGGCATAATGCCATACAGCATCTTCCAAAGCAGCCATTTCTCCAGGTGAACTGATCTCTGTAATAGTGGGAGATCTCCTGCCACCACCTGGAGACTGGCAACCTTAGTTGTATGCTACTTGGGTCCCCACTGGGGAGAAAAGCAGCATATAAATAGCTAACAATGAGGGGGAAATGGGCAGGGCCGGCTCGCTCACTAGGCGAGCTAGACTCTCACCTAGAGTGGGGCCATCATGGGGGTGCCGGACTGAGGCCTCCCTCCCCCTGCCAAAAGCCCCCCCGCCCCCGCCAAAAGTGTAGTGCGCTCATTGCACGGGTGCCCCCTCAAGCCAAAGTCTTCTCGGGGGGGGGGGGGGAACGATGCCGTCTCTTTTGCCCTTGATTTCTGCCACTGCTTCTAAGGGCCTTGGGGGGGGGGGTTGTCCCTTCCGGGCAGAGAAGAGAAATCCTGGTGAGGATCCAAAGTGCGCCTTCCCAGACGGTGCCCTAACTGAATCGGGTCCTACGGAGGTGGGCGTGAATCATGCCCCTGTGTCGCTGGGGCCCGGGAGACATCTGGAAGCGATTCCCCTTTGCTGAGGGCAGACCTCCCACCTCCAGTGGGGTCTCTGACCACGTGTCCAACCTGGCTGTGAAGCCACTTCAAAGGAACTGTTTACACGTGTGTGTCTACATTACAAGGCCTCGCCCACCTGAACTTCTGGATGCCTCTTGCTGTTCTCACACTAGGCTTCTTTGGACTCTCTGTTCCAACTGCGGTTGCCACCCACACCTACTTGCCTGCCTGCCTGCCTTACCTCCCCTTGGCCTGAGCGATCCACTTCGTGTGCGCTCCCAGAGGGGGGGCTGCATGGTGCCGGCGCTTCCAGGATGCCGAGGGTCCCAAGCCACGGCTGGGGCCTGCCTTCTGAGCCAGTGGGGGTGGGGGCCCAAGCCGATGCATGGATGCTGCTTGAAACCAAGCCCCCAAGGGAATCAGAGGGTCTTTCATCCAGTTGGGAAACCAGGGAGCCACGCTGCTGTCTTTGCTATCAAGTGACCGAGGACATGGAAGAAAGTCTTCCTTCTTTCCAGGCCCCGCCTGGAGGTTGGCAACCCCGTAATTGGTGGGGGCGCCAGAAGGTAGCCTCGCCTCGTGTACAAAAAGACCTGGAGCCGGCCGTGGAAATGGGGGAAAGTCAATAACCCCTGGAAAGAATGGATTTTCAATGTACCTCTCTTTCATCCTATACTAATGGAAGTAAGCAGTAGCAAGATTATTTCTGAAGAGGGTGAGGTAGTTCCATAGAAAAACCGAGTAATTTAACAAGGAGGTGTGGCTGAAGGGCAGATATTTTAGGATTCAAAGTAACAATACTGCTATAATCTCCAGAATACAGAAATAAATTCCCCCGGAGAAAATGGATGCTTTGGAGGACGATCCCCCCTTTCCTTAAACTCCACCCTTCCCAAGCTCCATCCCCAAATCTCTAGGAACTTCCCGGTATGATGGTCTCTGAAGCTAAGTAAATACGCAATGGAGATTTTTTGCCATTTTGAGACTACCTGGGAAATCATACGTGTTGCTCTGAGTTTCTCTAACCCTAATTAATCTTCAGGTGAGCTCTGAGACACTTATTGGAAAAGTTCTTCACACCTACATTTGAACACTTGTCTCAATATCACTTAAATTAGGCCCTGTTCATACGAGGGGTTTTGGTCCGGGAGCGAGACAGAACGGGGGCAGATCAAACGGGCACGATCCCACGGCAACATCTGGGAATCGTTGCCTGCCCGTCTCCGATCCGTCTCTCCCGGCCGAAAACCCGCACCAAAAAGAACCACCTAACCTGGGTGGTTCTTCCGGTTGAAGCGCCTCAAGCCGGCCATGGGATCGGCCGGCGCATCCTTGTGCCGGCACATCCCGGCCCCCGGCCGAACTGTGCATGCTCGAGCATGTGCAGTTCGGCAGCCTCCCCCTCCCACTCACCTCTTCCTCCCCGGCATCTGATCGTGCCAGGGAGCAACGGCGCGCAGCTAACGGGATCCATGGGATCCCGCCGTGGCGTTTCTTTTTTGGCGCGGCTTCGCCTCGTGTTTTCCCTGCCGTGTGGCAGGGGCCTTAGTTTTGCATTGCAAGTATCTTTTTCTCTGTCAAGAAATATGTTTACCACAGTTTCGGAAATCAGTTCATGTAACATATCTTCAGTTTATTTGGAGCATAACAAGAAGAGGGCATTTAGAAGCCATTTAAATGTTCTTGCCCAATACTCTGAGTGAGTGTCAGGTTTATGCAACCCTCCCCTAGCTTGCCATCCATGTTAAGTTACAAACAGTATCCCATTACTCTGGATCATCAGCAGTGGTGTTGTGGATGTCTGAAACCTCCTCAGGAGAAATCTCCACTGAACAGGGTAAACTTGATCACTTTGAAATTAGTTATTATGCCTTTACCATTGCAAAACTGGGAACAGTATGTGATCTAAGACATGGCAGCAAGCCATTGTATTTTGGTTTCTGTAGCTGTGGGGAGTCAACAGGGTTGTAAAACACAACAATTCCAGGGCAATCCTAAAAAGTCACACTCTTCTAAGGCCACTGCCTTCAGTGGATTTAGAAGATGTAACTCTGTTTAGGACTGCACTGTCAATAAAACAAGTAACCTGGCCCTGAAGCAAAACTGTACAGCATTAGCAACTCTCTCTAGTGTTGCTGCAGTCAAGGCCAAGGGGGGAACCTCTTGCATCTGATAGGGCTAAAATAGGGTTAGCATATTTCGGCCCCATTCACATGGCGAATTTGCCATGGGAGAGCCACGACTGGATGGTGGATTTTCCGGGCATGATCACACCACAACATCTGGCAAGTGGAGTGCACCCCTGGCCAACCTGTGGCATGCCGCTGAAAATGTGCAATAAAAAAATACCTCCTCGAAGGTAGTAGCAAACGGTTTACCATGGGCTGCCTCCAGACTCCCTTGGTGTGATCACGCCGGGACAGCTTTTCCCTCCGTCCGTCTTCATTGCTGCGCACACGCCAAGGGCCAGAACCGTGGGTTGCCGCCGACACGGCTGATCGCGTTGTCGCATGGCTAATTGCGCCGCCGCAAATAGCCGCATCTCCCCTTCCCCCCGTGTTTTCCGGCACGTGTGACTGGGGCCTTCAAAAAGCAAAAAAGAGGACATATTTCCTGACTGACTACTTCAAACAACTGATCACTATGACAAATCTCATTTTAAATACCCCTAATGTTTAAGCTGAAGTTTGCCTCCACTAGGGGACTATATGGCAAAACTGGCTCAGCCTCCCAACCCAAAAAGAGGACATTTTCATCAGTTATTTTAAAAAGAGCACAAAAGAGGGTGGGCACCAAAAAAAGAGGACACGCTCTCTAAAAAGAGGACATCTGGTAACTCTAGCTAAAACCTAAAAAAATATGTAGCAATATAGCTGTACTGAGTTTTTCTGCTTTTATGTAAGGTGTCAAATACTGTAATAAATAAATAAATGGGACCCTATGGAGATTTTGCATCAGATATGGTTGCCAGCTCTGGTTTGGGGAATTCCTGGAGATATTGGGTTGGAGCCTGGAGAGGGTGGAGTTTGGGGGGGGGGGACCACTGTGGGACATAATGCCATAAAGTCCACCTTCCAAAGCAGCCATTTTCTCCAGGGGAATTGATCTCTGTAATCTGGAGATAGTTGTAATTCTGGGGTTTTCCAGGTCTCACCTGGAGGCTGGCAACCCTATGCAGCACTCTATCATCTGTCCCTGTTTTGATTGTTGATCTTAGAAAAGCCAAGAGGTACCCTCCTGTCTGTGTATCTCCTTGGGAAATGTATGTGCCGCCTCTCCAGAGACCTGCTTGAGGCAGCTCACAAAGGAAAAATACAGCAAACCCATTACATGAGCCATAAAAACACAAACTGTAAAATAATACTCAAGCTAGAGGCAGGCCACAAAAACAGCTAAAAGTGTGGAGGGGCATCAACAGTCTTTTTTCAGTTGCACAAAAAGGGAGAATTCCATCAAGCTTCTCCCATCATTGCAAAACTGTGACGGAAATCATATATCTGATGGAAGTCAGAACTTCAAAGCGAGCCTGGGAAATTTCACAGGTTCAGAGATGATACCTTCACTGGTCTCCTTATTCATACACGTCCTCTGCAGACTTTGTTCTGTCAGCCGTTTCATGACAATACTTCTCCACATTTCTTCTCTGTGAGGTGAAGAACGCCTCCAAGCCCCTTTTCCTCATTCTGTGTGGTGATGGTGGGATTCCTGTTGTCTTATTTGGTCATTTGAATCCCCTAACACTTCCTCAGAAGGACAAAAATAATCCAGAGAGCAGCTGAGAGCAGGGCCAGAGCGAGCCGGGGCCATCTGCCTTTGTTTCAAGCCCCAGAGGCCCTGGCTGTGTCTCTCCTTAGGGGTCTCCGGGACCTCCCTTAAAGGATCCTATGATGACTCGCTTTTCTTATTCAGAGTATTTCTCTCTGTTTCATTCGTGCTGTCATCACCTCAGGCACGCTGCACAGTCCGGAGGCCAGACTCAGACTTCCAGCTCAGGGTCACCTAGTGGGGTCTGGCGGAGATACGATGGCACCCTCTTCAAAAAACCTCAGCCAGAGTAAGTCCCCCCCCCCATGTTCCTCTCTTTACTTCTGTTGAATTTCTGTTGTTGTTGTTGTTGTCTGCTTGGCCTGACCAAGCACAGCTGGTTGCTTTTATGTGTGGGGTGGGTGGGGGGTACTATGCACTTCATGATGAGGAATTCATGTAACTGCCTGTGGGAAACTGTACTAACTTTCTCCCTTCTCTCAGCCCCTTTAACATCTCGTTCACCCTACTCCCCTTTGTCCTAAGGACTCTTGAACCTTAAAGCAACCTCTCTAATCCCATGTAAAGTAGCTATGTTCTTTTAGGATTTGTGATTGCACTGAAATTACCTTCCAGGGGAGAGGAAACAGGATGCTTGTCTAGTGATTTATTTAGACAGACCAGATCCTGTTTCAAAACAGCATACAGACCTGACCATATTAATGTTAATTTGAGCCATGGGCATTTGTTGTTGTTGGGTTTTTTTTTAATCTCACAAGTTCCCGGAACTCAAAATCTTAAGTGTAACTAAAGTAGCTCTTTGGATCCAGTGGTAGGTATTTCTACTTCAGACTAAATGGATTTGACAACTGCATTTTTGTAAAGGCTACATGCGTCTTTTGAGAGAGCTCACTTTTTATTTATTATATTTACTTTTTATTATTACATTTTAAATTTTTTAATTCAATTCTGGTATTTTAAGGCCCAATTCCGTTCCTTCTTTCTTATCAAATAAACCAACGCCCCTGCCGTAAAATATTTCCATGTGAAATTTTTGTCATTTCCTGCTTTCCCTATAATTTGGCAAGAAATTCTGCTTTCATTTCTTAGGGATTTCTTACGCATAGGGAATCAAGTGTCAAAAGCCTCTGCAAGTGAATGATGAGCCCAATAGGTTGAACTGGCATACTGGACTCCACTGTAGTCAGGACACACTGAACATTGCCAGATTCAGTAAATACACGAGTCTGCATCCTGTGGTTTTAGAGCCGAATATGGCTCAGTAGGAAAACAAATATGGCTCTTTGAAAAAAGAAAATCAAAAGTGGTTGTTTTGGAGGGTGGATGGGTGGGATGCTAGTTTGTCAAGGGAATGGCAGTAGGGTTGCCAGCTTGCTGTTGCCAGCATGCTGCGGGGGGCCCTCACTGGTGATGTTATGACATTGCTGACAATGTACTGATGTCATTTCCAGTGTAACCTTAAGTGAAGTCAGCACATTCATTCATTCATTCATTCATTCATTCATTCATTCATTCAGTGTTCTAGTCACCACTCGCCACTCACTCGAACTGTCTTACGGCGACTTTCAACATTAAGACCATATAAATAAGTTAACAACATTAAAGCAGATAACATATATAAAATACTAGCATTAAAATGTTAAAACTATTAACATATGTGGCCGGCACCATACCACTAACAACCCCTCAAAAAGCATCTGGATTACACTCCAAAGGCCAACCTAAACAATTTGGCCTTGAATGCCCTGTAGAAACTAAACAAGTCTGGCAGGGCATGAGCATCATCACAGGGTTAGAAGCCACAACTGAGGAGGACCCTCCTCTGGTGACAGCTAAGCAAGGCATCCTGGGACCAGGCACCTGCAAGAGGCCCCTAGAAGTTGACTGAAGAGCACATGGGGGTTGTAATGGAAGAGGTGGTTCTGTAGGTATGAGAGTCCCAAAATGTTAAGGGCTTTAAAGGTAAACAGCAACACCTTGAATTGGATCCAGAGACTAATTGGTAGCCAGTGCAGCCGCTGCAAAATTAGAGTAATATGAGCTGACCAGGTGCTGCGGGTCAGCCAGGGCTCAGTGAGGACTCCTCAGGAAAGGAGGAGCCTCATGTAGCTAGCTCTGAGTCAGCAGAAAGCCAGCAAGCAGGAAGACAAACTGCAGGCTTGTCAAGATTCACAGCCAACAGCTGGTGCAGAGCCACCAACACCTTCCAGCCCTGATTCAACAGGTGAAACGAAGTTAATTGTTCCCAGCTCTCCAGTATCACCCACACCCTTGGAGCACTGCAGACAGAGGCTATCAGCAGAACTACAGGAGAGATGACAAAGTGCTTGCCTCCTGGTTGAGTAGTTGCAGGACAAAGTGCTTGCCAGCTGCTTGAGTAGTTGCAGGATTACTCCCGAGCAGCTGGCTGCAAGCATGACCCTCAGGCATGTGCCTATAAATACCAGCCAAGGGAGGCTGTTAGGTGTGGAAGTAACAAGTTGCTTTACTTCTAATCATGACATCTGAACCTGCCTTGTATTCTGATGACTCTTGAACTGAACTCTGTGACTTCTCAGACTGCCTCTGACTACAGTTTTTGGCCTGCTAGACTCTGCCTTTTGATTGCCCATTAACCTGCTCTGTGCTGACATTCTGACCTGGTGCTTGACCCTTGAACTGGACCCTGACCATATATTTCAGACTGCTTGCCCTACACCACTGCCTGCCTGTGAGCTACAACACCATGATATTTTGACTGCTGCATTATGGACCATGTGCAGTCTCTGAAGTGTTTTCAAGGGTAGCCCTTGCAGTGCTCTACCATTTGGCCAAAGGTCAATGGTTTAACCATAGAGTTTTGACTGAATGCTAGAGCATTTCCAGTGACATGCTGATGTCACTTCTAGACACACTGGAAGTGACATCAGTGTGTCTGGATGCTAGCCACCCCCTCTCCCAGTGGAAATTTGGCAACTCAAATGGCAGGCAAAAATGTTTGTGGAGCTACAAGGCTGCTTAGAAATCCTTTACAAAAAGGGAAATGATAGTGGTGAACCGTTGCTGGTAATCCAAGAGGCAAACCATGCACAGATTTATGCCAGTGCACTAAAACCAATGACAGTACTCCTGTATATATTTATTACTCATTGTGAGAACCATGTGTGCCACTTCCTGATGAAGTACTTGCAACTACCATTGTTTGGGCTGCAGAAGTTTAAACAGCCTGTCAATTACCACTAAAGTTAAGTGGCACATTTACAGTGATCCAAATGGTCTTTCTCTTTGTTGATGTCTTGCTCTGAATTTTGGCATTGGTTGGCTCTTTAGGTGTCAAAGGTTGCTGAACTCTGATTTAATGCGAGTGCCCTCTGTTCTGGTTATTTCTGGGGAAATGTTATGATATTATTACAAGTGTCAGAGGCAATTCCGCAGAAAGTAACCCATTTGCAACTTTGTTTTAAAGAGTGCCGGATCCTATTGTATCAGCGATTAGGGAAGGAGATGAAGAGACCCTGCTTGCCATGATAAAGTCAGGAAGAAACCTTTCAGAACCTAACAAAGATGGATGGCTACCACTCCATGAAGCTGCTTATTATGGACAAAATGGCTGCTTGAAACTGCTCCAGAAATGCAAGTACCAGAAAAGGAACATTGTGCACAGGGTAAAAAACACCAGATCCTCTCTAGACACAGATAAACCCATTAGGTAGGGATGCCAACCTCCAGGTGGGACCTTGGGATCTCCTGGAATTATAGCTCATCTCCAGACTACAGAGATCAGTTCACCTGGAGAAAATGGATGCTTTGGAGGGTGGACTCTATGTCATTGTACCCTACTGAGGTCTCTGTTCTTCCCAGGGACCTTCCTCAAATCTCCAGGAGTTTCCCAACCTGGAACTGGCAACCCTACTCCCCCACTCCCCACTGGTGGCCAGGGGGGACCTGACAACCATACTATTATGTTAAGTATGACACTTAACTCAGAGTAACAGTTCAACAAGTGATTCAGCTTTATTTCAGCTCAGGAACAGTGAGAACAGCATAACAGGTTAGACCTGCTAGGACTAGACCAGCTAGAAAATTCAATAGGCAAAACAGCAACTTATATACAATTCTGGCTGAGATAGCCACACCCACAATACTTACAGTATCCAATCATATTAGGTACATTACAACCAATCATAATCAAGAGATATGTCCAATCAAAAACATTCCCTCCAGAAGGCACACCATTGGTCAGTATTTACAATCCGCATAATGAGCGATGCTAGATTATGCTTTTACCATTATGTCTCTCGACATAACATATTAGGTCCTATTACATTGTGAAACAATCAATCAATCTAGTTTATGCAAATAAACATTTCACTTGGAGCCCCTGGAAACCACTTTTTCAAGGTTCAAGGACAGACTAAAATATTACTCACATGTAATGTTTTCAGTGGTTCTTATATTTTCTCTCTGTTAGATCACACATTATAAGCAAGAGACCAAAAATCTTGGGATTAAAAAAATGAGAGCTATTCTTTGGGGAGTTTTAAGAAACCTCGTAGTTTTCTCAAAGTTTTCTGGGGCTGCTACCACAGTTAGACGCTGCTCTGTAACACCTTTTCTGTGATTATCTGCAAGCAGAATGGGAACTCTGGTGCTTCATATAATCCTATGTTCCCCGTAAATAAAAACCAAACGACATCTGTTCCCATAGACAAGATCTTACTATATATTTATTTGGAAGTAAGCTCCATTTAGCGTTTTACTTATTCTTGCAATTGTCTTTTGGCTTCTTCATCTTAAAGCCTGATCAGTTACTTCCAGGGAAGTGGGAATAAGCCCCACTGAATAGGTCTCAGTAGGATTCTGAGTAAACCGTTATCTCTTAGGTACTCTCATATATTAGGAAGTCAAGTCTCACCATGTAAGGATTTGAGTTTGTAGCAACATTTATCACAGATAACTGGCAAATATTTGACATATAATTCTTTTAAATCGCACATGTTTGCAGCTGATGGGGATTTTGTTCAGCTGTAGGCTTCAGTCATGTTCCGGGCATTCATTTTGGCTTGGCTTGATGACGTTAGTTCCTCCTGGGCTGCTTTTGAGTCATAGCGCCGCACTGCCACCGCCTGGCCGGATTGGCCCATGACAGGCCTCTTGATGCCGAAGAGGCCTTTTTTCCAGGCCTCCGAGCTTCCGAGCTGGACATTCCATTCGCTGGCTAACACCTCCCCTACCGGGGTTTAGTGTGCCCACCCTCTCTAAGGAGTGGTACCCATTTTATCTACTTGCCGAAGCTTTCGAACCACTGGATGGACAGCGAGCTGGGAACAAGGCTGGTAGCTCACACCAGCGTGGGCTAGAACTGACAGCAACTCTGTTCAGTTCGGATGTTAACCAGAGGATAAATCCTCTGTGCCACCGCTCCCCAGGTAAACCTTTATCTCTTAGGTACTCTCTTAGGTAAACCTTTATCTCTTGGGTACTCTCATATATTAGGAAGTCAGGTCTCACCATGTAAGGATTTGAGTTTGTAGCAACATTTATCACAGATAACTGGCAAATATTTGCCGCTGGAGCTGACTGTGTGCTTTACTAATGTGACCCAATCCTTTCTCTAGCGTACCCTGGGACAATCGATCAGCGGACGCTCCAGGAGGAAACACCACTCTACTTAGCAACAAACAAAGGGCACCTTGAGTGTGTGCATTTTTTGCTGCAGGCCGGAGCAGAACCTGACATTGCAAATAAGGCTAGAGAGACCCCACTCTATAAAGGTAAGTCTCTTGACCACAGGTTGTGAGCCAACACCAGGAAGAATGGGTGCTAAATAACCATCAGTGCAACCATTACACCTTACTCAGCCCAGTGACTGCAGTGGGATTTAGAATGCTGTCACTTGATTTTAGATTGCCTTGTCTCATTGTACTCATCTGTCCAAACAGGGAACCAGTCTCAGAAATCCTTGGGCTTATGCAGTCCTTCTTCATGTGTTCCCTCCTGTGCAGCTTGTAGATTGAAGACTTCCAGTTTTAGTTTAAAATAAAAAAAAATATTGTAATGTGTGTAGCATTCCAGACTGAATGTAAGAAGAAAATTACTGCATTATGCTACGCAATGCTACAGTATTATATTCTGTAATTTGTGAAGTGCCTCCATATGCTTGCACATTTATTTATTTATTTGTTAGTTAGATTTTTATGCTGCCCTCCTGGCCTAGGCCAGCTCAGGGCGGCTTACAGACATTTATTTTGCATCAGCAAGCAATGTGTGTGAGGAAAATAGGGTAGAAACTATTTTACATCGCAAAAGCAAAATATGATCTATGGATTCTGTGTTATCTGCCTAATTTTTATCCTGCTCTTTAGGCCAGACTAGATGTGAAAGTAGCCCAAGGTCACGCCAGGAATGCACCTCTATTTTGTACAGTGAATTCCCATGAGGGAAGTCTGACAGTACTGTGGGAGCCTGATACTGATCAGGACCCCCATGGTGCACAGGAGGAGTGGTTCTGCCTCCCCCCCTTTTTTTTCCTGACCCATAAATGGCACCAAGGGTGGATTATTTGCCAGCACTGTTTTGGGTTGGAAAAACAGTGTAGGAGAAGGCAGAAGACTCTCTTCTCCCCATTCTGCAATGGCCCCAAAAAGAATTGGGGCTCCACAGCACTGTTAAAAGGACTTTCCCAGTGGGAACTCACTCTGCAAAATGGATGTGTGTCCCTGGGGCGAATTTGGGCCTCCATATTATCTAGTTTGGACCTTACTGATATACATGGTTCTCCTCATTTCACCCTCAGAACAATAGTTTGAGGTACATTAGGCTGAGAAAGTATGATTCACCCTTGGTTGCCCAGCAAGCTTCACGGCAGAGTGGGGGTTGTGGGCCTAGGTTGCCCCACTCCTAGTCCAACACTCTAGCCCATATAGTGCACTGGCTATCAGCCATTTGAAAGCAATACCCTATGGTGATGCCTGTCTGATAACATGAACCATACTGTACCCCATGGGCCCCTTCTTAGTGAACTGATCCCAACTGAAATGTTTTTGAGACACATCCTAACTTCCACTCCTGCTCCCTTTTTTTGTCTTCAAAGCCTGCGAACGCAAAAATATTGATGCTGTACAGATATTGCTGCAGTACAATGCTGATGCAAACCACCGATGCAATCGGGGATGGACTGCTCTTCATGAAGCCGTTGGCCGGAATGACTTGGAAATAATAGATCTTTTGATCAAAGGAGGTGCCAAGGTTGAATCTGCAAATTGCTATGGGATCACCTCTCTATTTGTGGCAGCTGAGAGTGGCCACTTGGAAGCCTTGAGATACCTGGCCAAGTGTGGTATGTAGAATAACTTAAAGGCGCATGTCATGCACATGGCTGAAATGTGCAAAAAAGGGAACTGTTTATTCAGAGTAAACTGACTTTCCCCGTCATCTTTCTGTTTGCCTTTTATTGGTTATGTCTGTGCATCTTTCCAGAGGAAGACAGTTCAAATACTAGTCTCGGTAGTTGCACATTTAAGGTAACAACACGATTTCTCCCCCACAGTCTAACAAGCTGCTTGTGCTCCCTAAAAGACTGGGTGCCTTTACTGGTTTCTGTAGGGAGTGAGCAAATTCTTAGCAAGGGTTTAGGGCAGTCTCTTGGATCTGTTTAAGAATAATGTGAACAAAAGCAGTATTTTCTGTGCATTTGATGTGATTATTTTTAATATTATTCCACCCTTCTTCCAAAGAGCTCAGGGGGGAAAAAAAAATCAAAATTGTGCTTTATGCCATGAATATCCATGAACAGAGAGAAAAAATTACAGGAGCAATGATTGGTGTGATCTATAGACATGAGAATAGAAAATTTATTTATTTATTTATTTATTTCAATTTATATCCCACCTTGCTGGTGCAGCAAGAGGTGCTGCTCGGAAGTGACCGTGTTTGCCCTGCAGGTCTTTGCCCCTGGGGCCAAACGAGATGTGAGCTTTTGCCATGAGTTAGGTCTGGATTCCCTGACCCCAGAGGTCATTTTGGGGGGAATCGCGGGGGATCGCAGTTCCCCTGGGTGAGGTACGGGGGCGGGGCACATGATGAAGCCCCCACCCTTCTTCCAAAGAGCTCAGGGGGGAAAAAAAAATCAAAATTGTGCTTTATGCCATGAATATCCATGAACAGAGAGAAAAAATTACAGGAGCAATGATTGGTGTGATCTATAGACATGAGAATAGAAAATTTATTTATTTATTTATTTATTTCAATTTATATCCCACCTTGCTGGTGCGGCAAGAGGTGCTGCTCGGAAGTGACCATGTTTGCCCTGCAGGTCTTTGCCCCCGGGGCCAAATGAGATGTGAGCTTTTGCCATGAGTTAGGTCTGGATTCCCTGACCCAGTTCTCATAATGCCATAGTCAGACAGCAGCTATTGAGAACTAAGGTCCAAAGCAACTAGGGTTGCTGACACTGGGTTGGGAAATTCCTGGAAATTTGGGGGTGGAGCCTGGGAAGGGATCTCAATGGGGTATAACCCTCCACTCTCCAAAATGACCATTTTCTCCTGGGTTAGGGATCTCTTATAGTCTGGAGATGATCCGGTGTAATTCCAGGAGATCTGCAGACCCCACCTGGAGATTGGCCCCCTTACAGCACCACAGGGGCCTGATTCAGATCAGAATCTCAGTGTGGGGGCTGGGGCTTCGATCTTCCCCTGTGTCATTTCCTTGAGCAAAACAGCCTGGGAGAGAGCTATTATTTGACCTTGGGTGGGGAACTGCATGGGCACCATTAGGCAGGTGTTTTGAGGCTGGCTCTGGTTCTGCCACGGTAAGGCTGTGACTATGCCACAGAGTCGTTTTCACATGCCGAAGCACAAAATGGGAATGGAAGGAGCCCTCTGGTAGCTACCTGCATGATGGCACATAAAAACTTGAGCTGGCTCTGACTGCTTGTGCAAAATTAGCAAATTTGCCTGCAATTGTATTATTTTGTATCCTTCCCAATGTGGCAAAGCTCTAGTTTTTGGGCAAAACTCTATGGTAAAATCAGCTACAAATCATAGAGTTTTGCCTAAAAACTAGAGCATCCCCCCCCCGACATCAGCGATGTGATGACATCACTTCTGAGTGATGCCATTGCACTGTGCTTGCTTTGCCTGCGTGGCAGAAGACCCCAGAAAGGACCAAGGATCCCCCCCCCGCCGGTTGCCTAATTGTAATAGTGGGAGATCTCCAGGTCCTACCTGGAGGTTGGCAGCCCTATTAGCAACTCTATAATATTATTTAAACTATTTCTAGTCTGCTTTTCTCCCAGCATACAGGATATAATGGGGTGGGGGAATAATGCACTTGACAGTGTATAATTTCACAAGTATTGTTTCAGAAAATCTTGAGGCCTAACCCATCCAATTATTTAACGAGATAATGCCATACTTTTCATTTTGTGATTTGGTTTAATTATCGTCAAGCTCTATATCTAAAACACTAAAGGTAAATTGAAAGAGTAACTGAAATTGGTTTTTAATTTCCAAAGTCCAATTATGAACAGCAACCAAAAACACAAGAGGAAAATCCAATAAAACTTCCCAGCCATTCCAAGCTTTAAAAGCTCCTATGAGAACCCCTATAACTTTATTGCATATATACAATGCGCAAGCTTTGCCATAAAATAAAGATTCCATTTCTTTCTCATTAAGAAGAATCTCAACGTTATTTCTTTGTAATTGCCTTCCTTAAAATTGCCAATAAAGAGATTTCAGTTGCATGCAAAGGGAGTGTATTCACTTTGGCACAGAAGAGGGCATCCCAAATCTATGAATATTTACTAGAAAGTAAATCCCAGTCTGTTCAGTAAGAGTTGTTCTCAAATTAGCACAGCCTTTGTGAGCAAGAGAAGTAACTGGCTTGTCAGAATGGCTTAAGGTAAGATTTCATGAATTATAACTTTCATTCCTGTGCCCTTTGGGTATTTTCCCAGTTGGCAAGGAGAGGCACTTATCGGTTTATAGCTTCTGCACATTTTGTTTAAATCACCCTCCCAACTACCTGGGCAGGACCAGTCCTGTGTGTGTCTTCATCATGAATCAGCACCCATTAGCACTAGTTCTGTGGGAAAGACCGACACATACAACTTCCACTTGTGGGGAAGCCATTTAAATGCTTTCCAGCTGTTCATGGTAAAGAGGCTCCCACAACATCATTAGAAAAATCTTTAAAGAGCACCTAAAAAGGGAGTACTTCTGTGTCCATTTTATAATGCTCTGATCCAGGGATTTGCTGAAGCAGAAATCTTATGAGCACATGGAACCCTCCCCACCAGGGCTGTTTTGTTCACAGAAGCAGAGGGGACAGAAGCATTGCCCCTTACTTGCCTCCATTAGACTGCCAGTGTATGCTAGAATTCTTTCTACACACTGGAACCTATGTGGATTTAGGGATGGCCACAAACCAGGGAAATGGTGGTTTGTGGTTCATTTGATTAAACGAACCACAAACTTTCACAAACTTTTCTGATTTCCCTAACCAGTTCATGGTTCATTCGGTTTGTGAGTTCGGGAGGTGATAGAACTGCCCCCTTGTGAGTTAAAAATGCCAAACTCACAGGGAGTCTTCAGCAGGCTTTCCTCCACCTGCCCTCCAAGTTTGGCAAATATTGTATTGCAGATGTCTGAGTTATAGCCCCCCAAAGCAGGTGCCCCCAGGAAAGCTCAGCTCTAGCCTCTCCTAAAATCAGCCACGCAACAAACAAGTCTTCCTAACTCACTCTCACACAATGACTAACTCCAGTCTTCCTGCTGCAAAATGAAAGCAGCTGAATCAGGGTGTGGTGCATGTATGTGTGCGCACACACGCGCACACACACACACACACACAATCTGCTCCCATAAAGCAGAATGGGAGTGCCATGGTTGGCTCCAAGAGCTGCCAATCAAACTATGGAGAACTGCTATTTTTGTATTTTCATACCTAATTTTACTTTACTTTTACTTTACAATTCGATTTATATACCGCCCTTGACCCCCTAGGGGGTCTCAGAGCGGTTTACAAATATACTACTTATGTAGTTGTTATCCTAACCTAGGGCCACAAATTCGAAGGGGGAGGGGCCACCTACCAACACCCAAGCGGCGCGTTCTCTCTTCTTTGCTGATTTCCCGGGCGGGCTTCGGATGCTGTTCCCGGCACCTCAGGCTGGCTGGCGACTACCTCCGGCAGGCTTCTGGTGGGCTCCTCCGAAGCGTGACCGCTTCTGACTGCAACTTCCGGCTTCCGGCCCTTAGGCTCCTGCCGTACTGCGTCTCGTGTCGCCTCAACTCCGCCTGTATGTTTTCTCTGTGTCTGAAATGACAACTATCGTTTATTGTCATTTATATAAGAAAAATGTTTTGGTAGAGGGAAAATAAGTTCTCTGTCAGCTCCCTCCACCCCATGCATAACTTTATAAACCTCTGTCATGTCCTCTCTTTTCTAAACTGAAAAGTCCCAGACTCTTTAGCCTTTCCTCATGGGGAAGGTGCTCCAACCCTCTAATCACTTGGTTGCCTTTCTTCTGGCCTTTCTCAAACTCTGTAATGTCCTTTTTGGGATACACAGTTCTGTCCTGTACACAGCTCTGTCCTGTACACACCAGAACTGTACACAGTATTCCAAATGAGGCCACACCATAGATCCATACAGGGGCATTATAATATCAGCCATTGTACTTTCAATCCCTTTCCTAATAATCCCCAACACAGAGTTTGCCCTTTTCACCACTGCAGCACACTGGATTGACACTTTCATTAAGCTATTGACTACAACCCCAAGATCTCAGCAAGTTCATACCCCCATTAACCTACCTCCAAAAAAGGCTATTTGGAGTAAGTTGCTTTATTCTTCAGTCCTACAGGTAGATTTGGGGTATGTGAGAATTATCTCTGTGTGAGTTTATTAACAGTGAATTTCATTTAGAAAATCAGTTTCTTTTTGCATTTGACTATCAAGCAACGGAATCCATAAATTGAAGTTCTGCAGTGTTTCCACTGCATGAGATCTGAAAGACTGCATCATATTTTATGTGGCTTGCATTTGTGCTGCAGGTATGTGACCAGGCTTAGATCACCTTTTCTTGACCACCATATTCTCCTTCCTGTATTTCTGTATTTTCATACCTAATTTGTGTTTTCTTTGTGTCTGAAACGACAACTATCGTTTATTGTCATTTATATAACAAAAATGTTTTGGTAGAGGGAAAATAAGTTCTCTTTGTCAACTCTCCATCCCATGCATAACTTTATAAACCTCTGTCGTGTTCCCCCCTTAGTCCTCTCTTTTCTAAACTGAAAAGTCCCAGACTCTTCAGCCTTTCCTCACAGT